GAAGTTCCTCGCAATTCTTTTCCATCATTGTTTTGTAAAAGGTCTCTAGTGAAGAGATACATATCCAAGAATGTTATCCAAGAAATCACATCTCTTTTCCCCATTCTTTCAAATACTCCACGAGCCATTTCCATTTTACCCAATCTTAAACTGAATTTTATTAAAGTGACACATCGTCTTCATATCCAAGTTTAATAGCTAAACTCAAAAGGGTCATTCCAAATGAAAATTTGTCCATTTCAGTAGAATCTCTTACAATGGAAACGAATGTAACATCATTTGGGTTTACCCCGGATCTTAAAATTTCCATGAAGAGTTTTATTGATTTTAAGTGCATCCCATTTGACTACACCCCACTATTTTGCAACTGTCCAAGAAATTACATTCAGGAACGAGTTTCTTTGAAATAATCAGATGGATTCATCCACTCTACCATATTTTAAATAACCAGAAATTAAAGCAGTTCATGAAACCTCGTTTCGTTCAGGCATTTCATCAAACAACTTTGTAACATCCGTTCCTTGAGGTATTATTTAAATTATGTAAATTAATATTAGCCTTGGAATAACACTTGGACATTGGACCTTAGAAATTTGGGCCAAGAAGATGGGTCGTCTATAAGTTGTACGTTGGGCGTAACCTGGCGTACGCGGGGCGTAATGGCCATTGGATTCGAGGGACTCGTGTGCGTACGCCCAACGTAAGCGGGCAGATGCCAAACCCTAATTTTAGGGTTTAAGACCTACAAATACCCCATTATAGCCTCCCCTTTGGCCTCCTCACCTGTCCCTCACCCTTAGACAAACCCTAGTTTGTTTCATACTCCTTTCTTGTGTGTGTTTGACATTTTTGAGCTTATTTTAGTGAAGAAAGGCTTGAAAGAGGAAAGGAGAGGTTGGGGAAGAAGCACTTGAGTATCTTGAGCTCAAGGATCTGGATCAAGCTCATCATTCCTTCTAGAATCATAGATCTAGGGTTTTGAAGATTTAGACCTTTTTAGGTCCAAAGATTGGATATTGGCCATGCAACTTCGTTTTGAGCTTAGGGTTGCCACCCTTGAAGCTGGATGGGTTCCTTTAGCTATAAAGTTGCAAGCTTTAGGGCTTTTTATGAAGCCATACAAGAGATTTAGCCATTTCCATGAAAGTTCATTGTCATTTTTAGTGTTGGGCTCATTTGGTGGGTTGCAAGCCACCAAGTGATCAACTTTATGGGTTAGGACGAAGCATGAGACTCAGATCTGTAGTTTGGATGTAGTATCTTAAGGGATTAAGCAATTTTGGAGAAAAGAGCTTAACAGGAGAGTACGCTGGGCGTACACGCCAGTACACACAGCGTACAAGCCTTTTCAGCAGTACGCACAACGCACAGAGAGGTACGCTCAGTCGGTGGACTTTTTTTATTGGGCCTTGGTTTGGGCCAAGTCTTGGACATAGTAGTAGTGGGTCGTGATGGGCCTTTATAAGTCAGATTAGGGCCTAAGGACTAATGGGCTTGAAAGGAAGGCCCATTTGAAGAGTTGGGCCCAATTTAGAAAATTAGGCCATTTGGTGAATTAATTGGCCTTAGTGAGGACTAGAAAGGATTGGGCTTGGGTCATGGTCCAAATTAGATCAAAAGGTAAAATAGCCATTTTACCCATAGTAGAACTTTTAGTTTTTGACTAAGTGTTTATTTGGTCATTATAGTCGGGGAGTAATTGGAGTAGCAAATAGTGTTACCTTTGCACGAGTTTTCAGCAGCTAGATTAAGAGGCGAGTTTTCCTCCAGTAAGAACGGGTCTGGCCTGTTGATGTAGTTGCAGTATGTCGGGGTAAGCCCGATGCAATTTATATGTTTCTGGACTTCGGTTCGATGCTGGGGCGGTCCCGAGAAGTAGTTATGTATGCTTGATGTCTTTGTGATTCATGCATGTTTATGTTATGTGTTATATGTTCTGGGCTTCGGTCCGATGCTGGGCAAGCCCGATGCAGAATATGTGATTATGTTATATTTTTATGTTTATGTTATGTTCAGTTTATTTATATCGAACTCCGGTTCGATGCCGGGCGGGGCCCAAGTTATGCCGGACTTCGGTCCAATACTGGGCGAGGCTCGATGTTGAGCGGGACTCGATGTTGGGCGGGCCCTAATGCCGGATTCGTCCGATGCTGGGTGGAGCCCGATGCAATGGGCAAGGCCCAGTATGTGTTATATGTGTTATTGTATGGTATGCGGTAGTTTGGGGGAGCTCACCAAGCTTCGTGCTTACAGTTTTTAGTTTTGGTTTCAGGTACTTCCACTAGCAAAGTGAAGGGCTCAGGATGATCGCATGACACACACCACAACTTTCAGCCTATGATTGATTGAGACTCTGATATTTTTCTCATTTGATTTTGATACGGTATTTGATATGAGATTTTGATATATATGACACTTGGATTTCTTATTGATTATGGGTGATTATAGTTTTTATAACATTTTTCAAAACAAAAAATTTGGCTTGTATTTTTAGGATATTTCAAGTTGGTATCAGAGCCTTGGTTTGAGGGATTCGGGCACACTTTCGGGTGTGTCTGAACTCAAAATAATTAGGAGCAACCATTGAAGTTAGAGTATTAGAGCAAAAGTGGTATATAGAAGAATTTTTATCTTGAACACAAAAATGATTAAGATACCAAGGTAATCTCAGATCAACTATATGGATTCAAAGGACAACCACTCATGATCTGATACCAATTGAGAGAACAAGATCTATGTGCGGACAAGGTTTGAAAACTCAAACCTGGAATTAACACTTTAAGATTAACGTCTGCTTCTAATAAATTGGTCCAGTCAAGTCTGGTAAACCAGTCAAGACACGAAGATGATATTCAACAAAGTATTCAAGTGATAAATGAAGTAAGATTGATTATAATAAATGCAAAGACAATGTAAGACAAGAAGAATGTAAATGAATCAAGTTTGACTTGCAAGAGATATTGGATTGATGTGAAGAGAATATCGATAAATCTATTCTTAGTTACAAACTCATGAAACATTCACTCCTTATATAGCAAAGGAGGAACTTGGTACAAACCAATGACACATTATAATGATTGGATAAAACTAAGTATTTGAAAATCTGACACTAATAAGATACACACGTTTTAGTCCTACGAACTGTTACATCAATAAAAAGACAAAAAGAAATTAATGCTATTATAGACTCCCGACTTCTGAGTATCTTGATCTCAGAATTGATCTTGCTTCGGAACACTTCACATCTAGGATACAAGTTGACTTCAGATCATGATTGCTTCAGATTGCTAGAGGTTCATTTTTCATGTATTAACAATGGTCACAAAGAGTACAAAACCAATACCTAGGTCCATAAAGTTATCTATTGCTCAAGAACTCATGCATGGACGGATGAGAGTGTCCAAGCTCTCATTTTTATGACTCTATATCCTCAAAAACAATAGAAGGAGGCATTCAAATGGTCTGGGGTAACCCATACTCACAAGGACCAAGATTATGGGATAAAAAGTATAAAACCCATGAGCTAATTAGATTAAACAAATGGAACATCAAGATGTAAGCTTTATACCTTTTGGAGATTGGTGATGAAGTGCAAAGTCTTGATCTACAAAGGTTGGAGCTCACACTTGCTTCTCTAACGGACTCCTTCTTCATGAATTCACATAAAAACCACACTAATGCTTCCAAATCTCACCATTGATGGCTAGGGTTTCAAAATAACGGTTTGAGATGATGGATGTTTGTAATGGGAAGGGTTCCAAAAAGTTAGAGCTCTTAAATAGGGTCTAAAACCTTAGGATTTGGGTTTTGGTCATCAGCAGTTACGCCCTGCATAACCTAAGTTACACAATGCATAGCCCATTAAAAACACGATCGAAATTCAGCAAGCTACGTCTTATGTAGGGCAAAACCCAAACTTCCAATTCAACTTTAAACAACCATAACTTCTTCGTTTCAACTCCATTTTCGACGTTATTTATATGCACGAAAAGGTATCGACGAGCCCCACAATCTTATCTAGTTACTTATGACTAAAAATTTATCAAACTAAAATCCTTAATTCATGCAATAAGCCCAAGATATCACCTTCCTAATTTTACCCTTTGCTTCAAGGCACAAATCAATGGCTTTAATCACTGAATCCAACATTGCCAACATTCAAAAAGGGGCTTAACATTATTCTTTTGAAACCCAATACTATCACTTGATCAAATTCCGGCCCGACGTCTCAAAATTAGAATGTCACTAAAACCGGGTGTTACACTGGTCATTGGCTTGTAACACAACCAAATACCATGTCATTGGCTTACAACACACAAACATCAGGGGTGGATTCATATGGATGTCTGGGGTAACTCGTAGTACCCCTCAAATTTCGTCTAGAAGCATAAATTTTTTCGTAATTTGTTTTATACTACGATGCTACCCAGTAAAAAATATAGGCTATCCTATATTATAAATAAAAAATATTTAAAGTCTAAATATAATAACCTAACTCTTTTAAAAACAACATGATCTTTTTAAATGAACATAAGAGAGCTCCAATCTCCAAATGTTGTACATTATTAAAAAAAAATGCTATTTTTTTACTTTGGTTTTAACTTCGTCGCTTAATGGATAGCCTATGCCTTTATATATTCATATGCTCAAATATAAATTAAGGGTGTTGCTAATAAGACACCCCTTGAACACCCCATTGATCACTTTTTAAAAAGTTAACCAATAATTAATTGTTTTTAATCAGCTTTTTCGGAAAACAATACAATTTCAGTCAATAAAAATATTTAAAAAATTATTTAGATGTCCATATTGCAATATGGGGTGTCTTTTTAGCCAACCCCATAAATTAAGCATTGAGCCCACTATTGAGAAGTAGATTCATAATTTGGCTAGCCAACCATTTCACTAGTAGACTCAGTAATTTTGTAGTAGGCTTATAATTATGCACCTTAAGGCCTTAGGCCCCCCACCATTTGGCATCCATTTTGTTTGACGCTATCCCATTTTGACATTTTCCTTAAAAACCCGAAAAGAAGTTGATGGTTGTGGATGACATGCTGACTGAAAAGATTTGGGGGTTGTACGTAGCTTCTCAAACCATAAGGGTCGATTATACAATTTGAGCTAACCTTGTGGTAGTCCGCACTGACGCAACGAAACCCTTGATCGACAAAACCCCCCTTCGATCGTTGTTGATCCTATTTTGATTGATTTCCCCTAAATTTATCCACATCTTACATGTTTGATTCTTTTGTTCACAAATAGAAACGATTAGAAGGTAGTATTGACGCTCATCAGCGAGCAATGTCGAGAATTTGGTCGAAGTTAACAGCCATAGTCAGAAATCGGACGTTTATAGGAGCCGATAAAGCCGGAAATCAATACTATGTTCGTACTGAACAGATAGACGGTATCAGTAAGTGCGTCCCCTTTCTTTCTCCCTTGATCACTTTCATTTAGTTCAAGTCCGTCATGTTTATTTTAGTTTCAATGAAGCATGATCGATTCAATTTGTATTTGCGATCAATTCAACCTTAGTTTGATAATCACAACATAACCCGTACTTCTGATTCTCTGCGAAAAAACAAGCTTGGTTTTTTGCTGATTGTACCTTGTATAGTTGATTCTCACTAACCTTCTTTTCAAAAAAAGAAAAATAGATTATAGATCTTACACATTTTACACAACTACATCTTACAAAAATTATCCTTTTGATGCAACAGTGAAGGAGAAACGATGGGTAGAATTCAAAGCCAAAGGGGATGATGATCCGACTTCAATTCCAGGTAAGTCTATACAACAAACATCAGTTATTTACCATGAGTTATGTCTGATTCTCTGAAATGATCTCATTTTGATTTGTGTTTTCATATTCAAGAGCTGTATGATTTTGTTTGTAGTTGAATGGATATGTTGGCTGAATGGGCAACGAAAGATAGCTCCAACACCAGAGGTGAATTCCAATCTTTGACCCAAACATTTGGGTTGACCACATGGATCTTTTTTTATCTGTTTAAAAAAAGTAATGTAAGGATTATATCATTAAAGAAAGAACATAAACTCATTATATTGGTATTAGGAAATGGCTATGCTGGAGGCAAGGCGCCAACGTGTTAAAGAAAATGTTGCATGTAAGTTTCATTAGCTTTCTGTTTATATTTCATTCTTATGCTAAATTGATTTTTGAATATGTAATAAACATGAAGTTTTTCTTATCCTATTAATAATTTCTTGTATGTGATAAAGTGCTGAAGAAGGAAGAGGAAGAAAGGAAAGCTAGGGAAGGCAGTGGTCGTAAAATAACAAGCATGGGTAAGCTACACCTTTTTTATATATATATTTATTAATATTATATTTACTTTACTTCAATGGAAAATAAATCGATCAAAACATATTCTAATACTTTTCTACAGGAAAAGGTGATGGCCCAGACCTCAAAAGTTTCATTCAGCAGCTGCCAGTTGACTCACAAGGTAAACTAATAAACTAAACATCTTAATTCATATTTCTCTATATCATTTATAAGTTTGACATTAAATTATATCCGAAACTCACCCAAGTTTTTGAAAAAAAAAAGGGTTTAATGCAAGTAATAGCAACGTATTTTCCTTTCTCTTTTTATTATAGCATTTTACCTCTTTCTTATAAGGACAATAAACGTTTGAAAAATCTGCGTAATTATAGCAGTGAAAGTTGCTTTTGCATTTGGATTTAACATTGATATAATTGGATGTTGTGAATGTTTCTCTTGAAGATAATAAATCTTCCACACAAACGAGTATCAAGAAACAAAAGGAGAAGGAAATTCAAGATCAAGCAAAACAAGATCGAGAGTACGTCCACCGCTCTAGATTCTACATTTTTTTTTGGCCCACACTGTCCTGCCCAAGAGCATTACTGTCAGGTGTCAATCAGGTACACAGTGGTCCACTAGTTAGCTGACGTAAAAACCCGGGGAGGGCCGTCACAAGGAGCCCTAATATACATTGGAATTTAAAACTCAAGTACAAAGTGGCCCGCTTATACTGTCTTCACTACAAGAAACCTAATCTGTATTGGAATTAAAACTCTTACACTAATGACTTAAACCCTTGAGGTCTTGACTCTATATTGTGTTTGTTAATGTACTTTACAGGTCAGCAGAGCCGACAGGGTCAGGTGCGTCTTTTAGACCAGGCACGTGGCAACCTCCTACATGATTATGGTTACTTGTTTTCAAATTGAGACGTTTTGTAGACATGTAAAATTTTGATTTACCATCATGACCCATGAGTAGTGTGGGGTGAGGCACGTTTACCAATGACTTGCTAATGGAATATGTCTTATGAGGTATATGATTTATTATTTTATGAAATATTTGGGTGTTATTTGATTTTAACACGTTTAAATGGCACCAAGATGGTGATTATGTAGCTTCTACTTTTATTTTTATTTAAACCGTATCATATTAGAAAATATATGTTCAATAGTTTATAGTTATATTATTTTATTGAAACATAATGGTTATGATATATATATATATATATATATATATATATATATATATATATATATATATATATATATATATATATATATATATTTTTTTTTTTTATTATTAAGTTTCATATGATTGTTAAGTTATGGAAACTTGTTTACATTAAAAAACGACGAATTAGAATTTCAAATTAAAAGTTTGCATACAATATGTTATATTGAACTACTTGTAACGTTTTTTTGTAATATCTTTTGTAATAATGTTATTTAGATTAATGTATAAATTCTTTTCTTGGTAGTTATAATTAATTTATGAAAAATTTAATATCCTCCTATATATCATTTATTCATGTTAAATGGTGACTTGTGTCAAATAAATATATTAAAAAATTATTATTTTTTTATTAAATATGACACATGAAGATTTAAGATGAGTACTAATTTATAAACTTTAATCATTTTTGGTGGTTGGAGTGGATGCTCCCAACATATTTAGCTTTTCTAGTTCCTTTATAAAAGGATAGGTAAACTGCAAGCAAAACAAGCAAAACACAACAGAGGTTGTAAAAACTGATACTCTGATAGCTTGAAAAGGATTAGGTAAAACTGATACTCTGAAGGGCCCAAATGGGCAAATTTTCTAAAGACACGTGACGATATTTAGGCTAAATACATTAGGTAATCGATCAAAATAAGTAATCTTTTAAACATGTGAGATGGATTTGGTTTTCTTTGTCAACAAGTTAGAATTTTCTTCTATCGATTTATATTGTCATGTATTAATATTTATTATATTGTTATTAATTTATCAATTTTTGCGTTGGTGGTGCCATTCGCCATTTTGAATTCTAAATGTGACAATAATTTATCTTTAAGCAATATAATATTATAAGCCACCTTTTAGGCAATATTTCGACATAGCATTACTTAGTATCACAAACATATAAATGATAACTTCAGTTTAGGCATTACTAAGGTGCTGTTTGATTTTCTGAAGCAAAAATTCATGAAGTCTGCGGATCACCTCTGCAGTAGAAGAAGAGGTGGACCAAACGGCTGCAGACTATAATAAGAAGTGTGTTTGTTTTTTTAATATCTGCATACTGCTGCAGATATTAAAAAATTAAAATAAACTAATTTTATAAACCGAAAATAGTTTTTTAATACGTAAAATTTAATAATGTATAATATTTCGGTAAAAATTAATGATATTTCAGTAAAAAAGAATGATATTTCAACAAAAAATAAATATATTTTAGTAAAAAATAATGATATTTCATCAAGAAATTATCATTATTGAATATAAAAAAAATGAAAAATAAATTCAATAAGAATAAACGAAAAAAAAAACGGAAAAAAAATGTGAAATAAAATTTTAATAACATAAAATCAAAATTTCAGCAATAAAAAAAGAAGAAGAAGAGGTTGGAAGAAGTTAGAAGAGGCAGTACAAGTGTTGCGCCAAACAGAGCCTGCGCAGAGGTTTTTGACTCAGAAGACTTCTAAAAAACAAACAACTGCGAGGTGAAAAGTGTTGCGTGTGTGCTGCGCCACGCAGCAGTAAGAGGTTTGAAGAGGTTTTTTTCCAAAAAACAAACAACACCTAAATTCGTATTAAGGTCTATTCGAGATTCGGAAATTGTATATCTCTATATAACCTAATAGTTATATGGTATTGATAAATAACACGATTGAATGTTACATGATTGGTTAAAAGTACTTTAGATGATTATTTTCAAGACCTTCACGTTGCGGTAGTAACATATGTAGCCAGTGATTGATAACAATAGACTGATAGCTGCCATCTCATCATTTTAGTATCAAAGACGTAGTAGTGGTAGTGCAACGGTAACTTCTGAACCATAAACCCATAATAACAAATGTCAATGTGTCAATAACTACTTTTCCATTTTTACCGGTATTTTATGTTCAAACTTGACTTTCAACTCGTTCTTCCTTTAGTCCCCACACTTTGCAGTCCTCGATAGAGTTGCACAAATCATATCGGATTTTTCAAAAATCTAAAAATTATCCAATCTACATTTTCAAATATCGGGTATTATAAAATCCCAATTGGCTTTATCTTATTTGACACTTGTGAACTCTTTCAATTTTTCTATACTGTGTGTGTGTGTGTGTGTATATATATATACACACACACACACACACACTAGCCATTTACTCGCGCAAAGCGACGGGTGCGAATCAACAAAATGACATAAAAAATTTGTTAAACAAAATGACGAATAGATAAAAATTTCTTATACCTGGGCTAGGATTAAACGTAAGACATTTTTGGGCTTATTCGATTTTAATAGAAAGAAAAACCAAATGAGGAGGTAGCGAGCATGAGAGAGAACCAAGGTTTTGCAGTCAATGGCAAGGTATTCATGATAGACGAATGTTAGATCAATTTGTCTCTTCTAGTTTATATGGAATGCTTTATAACGGGTACATCGTATTAGACCGATTCAAATGGATATGAAAAACACTTAGTCAAACTTTGACCCATTCAAAATCTTATCATCAACTTATCTGACTTTTTCATTATTATTGACAGATTCAGTATTTAGCGATTTAATTGGATATGAGGAACACTTGGTCAAAGTTTGACTCATTCAAAATCTTTTCATCATCATCTTATTTGACTTTTTCATAAATGTTGACCGGATAAGATTTAGTATTTACCGATTCAATTGGATATGAGGAACACTTTGTCAAACTGTGACCCATTCAAAATTTTATTATCATCATCTTATTTGATCCGGATAAGATTTAGTATTTACTGATTCAATTGGATATGAGGAACATTTGGTCAAACTTTAACCCATTCAAAATCTTATCATCATCATCTTATTTGACTTTTTCATATTTAACCCATTCAATTTGAAGATAAGCTTAGAAGACCTATTCAAAATTTGTCTTTGACCGGATAAGATTTATTATTCTCCGATGCATAAAATTATTGTATATAATGTTTAAAAGCTTGTACCTCTTAAAATTAAGCAAAATCTAGTAAATGCTTTTTATGGTATATATATATATATATATATATATATATATATATATATATATATATATATATATATATATATATATATATATATATGGTTGAAGTTAATTTTTCTTAAATAATATCAAAAAGCCGGATCATTAGAAAATCTGAATCATATACAATACTAACTGAACCGGACCGAACCAAATTAGACCCGAATAAGCAATTCGATTCGGTTTTCGGGTATCTATATAAGGCTTATTTGGTTTTCGGGTTATTCGGTTCGGGTTACCTAAATAAGGGCTTATTCGGTCCAAATGGATCGAACCGAATATGAAAAGTTACATTTTTTTCCTAACACGATTGCTTATTCGATCTTCTTTTCTATCGATCATTACCCAACAAAACCCACGTAATACACCAAAAAAATCAATGCAATCGAATTCGATCATTCGTATTACACCAAATCGACGATTCGACGACATTACTCTTTGATCGATTAAGGTTTTTCTCATCCTTGCGACATTACTCTTTGATCGATAGTTGCGGCTACTGCCCTTGCGACTTACGATAACCTAGACTCATTGATCGATCATCATCGGTTCAAAGTTCAAACTTCAAAGTCCATTGACGATAAAAAAAAAAAAAAAGTCGGCCCTTGCGTTTGGAAAAAATAATCGTCTCATCATCGTTGTTTTCTAGTTTCTACTATGATCAAACTCCATTCAAGTCATACAAAATACAGTATTTATAATCACATTGTAAATGTTATTTGTAAATGTTATTCGGTTTATTCGGATTATTTGGCTCCTTAATCATCTTCTACATGTTATTTTGGTTATTCGGGTCGGAACCGAACCGAACCGAATAATACCCGAACCGAACCGAACCCGTATTACTTATTTGGTTCGGTTGTCGGTTCATACAATTACCCTTATTCAGTTTTCGGTTTATTTGGGTTCGGATCGGTTCGATTCGGTTCCAACTCGAATAACATCCCTAATACTAATCCAATGTATATTGAATTCATTAAAACTTATTTTAAGACCAAAACCAAATAAACCCACACACTAATCTGAATATTATCTTTCCCCATATCCAATGAAGTTTTTTTTTTTTTTTTTTTTTTTGGGACTAGATTGAATCGAACTTTTGGGCACACACCTCTAGTTCTCCGATAAAATTGAAGGGCGTTGCGGTGCCCCAACATTTGTAATGTCAACTCGTGTATATGAGAACACATTCAACACCTCTATGGCTAGACTAGAATCCTACATAGTGCCTATTTGTCATGACAAACACCACACCTAGCACATAAGGCAAAATGACAAGAGCTAGCCCTTTCTCTTTCTTCTCCTTGCCGTGACTTTCTTTCTTTTTCTTTTCTATGACAAAATGGCAAGGGTTACACCACACTTATTGCTCGGCAAAGAAATGGAAAAGATGAGGTGGAAGTGACCATATGTTGATACAACATCTAATAATTAATAAAACTTTAGTGTGTTTCGTAAATTGGTAAAGCAATTATATATTTGTTACATAATTAAGTACTATATTGTAAATTATTTTACTATTTTTTTTAATAAAATAACTTATAGATTAGAATATTACAACGACTTAGATATATTTTGGATAGTCTTTTGACAAATTTGATCGATTTACTTTTGTCAACTATTTGAAGTTTATCAATTTGACGATGACAAACAGACAAAGCGTACATCATTTTTCTTGGGACAAGGAATATCCATTTCCTCATCCGTTTGGTTGTGTCACGTTTTCCAACGCCATATGTTGATAGAATTATTATGGATATCTATTTTGGTATTATTGTTTTTTTATATATAACAGGGTCTCTTATTAACTAACTTTAACAAAATACAAAAGTTTCAACAAATATATAAAATACTTATTTTAATATTTGATCTAATTCATATTTAAATGACTTACTAACTGATTGTTTAGCTAAGAAATTTAAACATCGTTCTCATGGTTTAACTTCCGTTATGCCTAAAAGATTGTTTAGATAACAAATTTAGTGTTCCATATTTATTTTTTTATTTTTAAATATGATAAAGAAATATAGTTTCATAGAATGTAGGCATCCAACAGTAGAAAGAACAAATGGGTAAATTGGAGTGTGCATTACACACTCGTTCCGTTTCAAGCCGACTCAAGCCAAATCAAGCCGAGCCGAGCCGAGCGGATTTCAATTGAAATCCTTATCAACTACGGACCTTTACACATGGTCAAAGTATACTTCAAGCCTCGATTATACCGTTGATCTTTATCCTCGTACAAATCTCACCGTCCATCGTCCCTCACCTACTCATCATCATCCTCCTTACCCTACACCACCCCACACTAGAACTCAAGCTCCACTCACAGTCGGCACTAGGCAGCCATGAAAGACTTCAACAACCTCCTCTCTCTCTCCACTTTTAATTTTTAGGGTTTTTTATTTTTTCTTTTCTTCTGGTATATCGTGATGTATATAGCGATTACCAACTCATCATCTTCATCTGCAATTCTTAGAGCTTCTTCTAAAGTTCGTTTCTCTACTTCTCTTCAACCCAAACCTTGTCTCGTCAGAGCTTCACTTCTTTCTTCGCCGTTCAGATCGGTCAGCACTTCATCGGCGTTCCGTTCTGTATCACGGTGGAGTCACGGTGTTGATTGGAGATCCAGTGTTACTTCTAGGGCTCAGATCGTAGCAGTTGCTCCTGTCGTTCAACAATTCCAACGAAAGATCGCTACCATGGGTATATATCTATGTTTAACCACTGCTGAATATCCATTTCTTATTACTTTTCTGTTTAGGATTTGTCAAATCAAGAGTATACGGGGTTTTGACTTTACGTCACTGGATTTTGATTTCATTTCTTTAATCAATCAATACTGTATTTTCATTAATTTAATCATTGTCAATCGATGACCTACAACATACGCAAAGCTAGTTATGCTACTTGGATTGGACCTATATAGCACTTTTCATGTCCTTTCGTTTTGCAGTTTTTGATTTTGCTCGTTCAGATAGAACAAGAACTTGCGTTTTGATTTTTGAGATCAAACCTGTAATATCGTCAAATTAAATGTTGATTTAGATTTGTCGCAAGTTTGACACCTAGATATTCTACTTATACTTGCTACTTAGTGGATTCAAAGTGTGTGCATATTTCTTTTGTGAATCCTTGGGGAATATGGACTTTATGATGCTGAATTGCCGATTATAGCTTTTTTAGATTTGCTTTTGTTGTTCCTTTCAGAAAAAAGTTATTTGTACTACTAGTTGTCTAGATTCGTTGAGGGTGTTAATGAGATGAAGGGAACAAGCATTTGTTCCATCATGATGCTGGAATTTCACTATTTGTTTTGTCTCCTTTTCATTTCTCTTTCACTAACTTTTTCTAAACTATGCAGCTTCTGAAAACCCTTTCAAAGGCATATTCACCAGTCTCCCCAAGCCTGGAGGAGGAGAGTTCGGAAAGTATTACAGTCTTCCTGCACTAAATGATCCACGAATTGGTAGGGACATGAAACTTTTCCTAATTGTATAAAGTTTCTCTTTTCTCCTTCTGATCGTTTAGAATAGAACATAACCTTTTTTTAAGTTCCCTGCTTCTTAATTCTTATTCACATTTGATGATCCTTCACGCTCATTATTTTTTTCACACTTGTTCTTCACATATATGCAGACAAGCTACCATACTCTATAAAAATCCTTTTAGAGTCTGCCATACGCAATTGTGATGACTTTCAAGTTACCAAGAATGATGTTGAAAAGATCATCGACTGGGAAAATACTTCACCAAAACAAGTGGAGATTCCATTTAAACCTGCTCGTGTTCTCTTACAGGTGAATATCCTTACATCTGCAATTATAAAAGCATACAACTTTTCACCCCTTCTTTCATTTCTAATAATCCATAATATCTTCTCAGGATTTTACTGGAGTTCCAGCTGTAGTTGACCTTGCTTGTATGCGAGATGCTATGAACAGACTCGGTGGTGACTCCAAGAAGATCAACCCATTGGTGAGTAATATTCTAACTATTCACTTCTGATATCGTTTTGAATCATCAATAGTTTTTTGACTTTTTCATTCTTTCAAATCTTGATGTTTCCCAGGTGCCAGTTGACCTTGTGATTGACCATTCAGTTCAAGTTGATGTTGCAAGAAGTGCAAATGCTGTTCAAGCAAACATGGACCTTGAATTTCAACGCAACAACGAACGATTTGCTTTCCTTAAATGGGGATCACATGCTTTTGACAACATGCTTGTTGTCCCCCCTGGTTCTGGTATTGTTCACCAGGTAAAAAAGATTCACACATTCAAACCACATGATTCACTATGAGTATTTGAGCACTCCTCTTAAAAGTTTTTCTCATATTTTCAGGTAAATTTGGAGTATCTTGGTAGAGTTGTGTTCAACACTGATGGCGTTCTCTATCCAGATAGTGTTGTTGGAACTGATTCCCACACAACTATGATTGATGGATTGGGAGTAGCTGGTTGGGGAGTAGGTGGAATTGAAGCTGAAGCAACTATGCTTGGACAAGTATACCACTTGATAAATTATCAAACTCATTTAGTATTTTAATTATCATCCAACTTATGTGGTATATTAATTTGTTGATGACAGCCCATGAGCATGGTTTTACCTGGTGTTGTTGGCTTCAAGTTGTCTGGAAAGTTGCAAAATGGTGTCACAGCTACTGATTTGGTGTTAACCGTGACCCAAATGTTGAGAAAGCATGGTGTTGTTGGCAAATTTGTTGAGTTCTTTGGTAATGTCTCTGTTATTTAATAAGATATTTTAAATCTTTTTGAGGTTTTGACACATTGTTCCCTTGTATCTTTGTGTAGGTGAGGGTATGAGTGAGCTGTCTTTGGCTGATAGAGCAACTATTGCAAATATGTCACCCGAATATGGTGCAACCATGGGCTTTTTCCCTGTAGATCGTGTCACACTTCAATACCTTAAATTGACAGGAAGAAGTGATGAAACTGTGAGTTGTCTTCGAATATTAAAATAGAAAGTTTTCAATTTCAACTAATTCTGTCTTGATTTGGTTTTAGGTGGCTATGATTGAAGCATACTTGCGAGCAAACAACATGTTTGTTGATTATAGTGAGGTTAGGTTATGTAATATTTACATTATTCCCCTTCATGTTTCATGTTTTTTGTTATTTCTTTAAATCTGACATTGTTGCTATATCCCTCAGCCTCAACAAGAGAAAGTTTACTCGGCTTATCTACAGTTGGACCTAAATGATGTTGAACCCTGTATTTCTGGTCCAAAACGGTATGTATGTTGCAATTTTGTATTTTTTTTTTTTCTGAATTTCTGTCGAGTAAATAGTGGATTTATGGCTACTTTCTTGCTAACAGGCCACATGACCGTGTACCCATAAAAGACATGAAGGCTGACTGGCATGCATGCCTTGATAACAAAGTTGGATTTAAGGTGAGATTAAGATTATTCAGTTGACATTAATATGATTATTACACCATAATATTAGTTAGAGTTTTATTTAAACTTTTATATTTTCATTCACAGGGCTTTGCAGTTCCAAAAGAGGCACAAGAGAAAGTTGTGAGCTTTCCATTTAATGGACAAACTGCTGAGCTGAAGCATGGTAGTGTTGTGATAGCAGCTATTACAAGCTGTACAAACACATCAAACCCTAGTGTAATGCTTGGAGCTGGTCTTGTTGCCAAAAAAGCTTGTGAACTTGGTTTGGAGGTTTGTGTAGCTTACACTTCTTTAAAAATATTCTAATATTTTTATGCTATGTATTCTTTTTGTTAAACAAGTCTTTATTATCATGTATTAGGTCAAACCATGGGTAAAAACCAGCCTTGCCCCTGGTTCTGGGGTTGTCACAAAATACTTGCTCCAGAGGTAAAATTACGATTTTGTGCTTGATTATCTTTTTAATCTCCTTGCCTTCCATTTTATAACTTTCCTCGTGTATACAGTGGTCTGCAAAAGTACTTGGACCAGCAGGGATTCAGCATAGTGGGCTATGGCTGCACTACATGTATTGGAAACTCAGGAGATCTTCATGAATCGGTTGCATCAGCAATTACTGACAATGGTATAATTGTAATTTATGTAATAAATTACAAAAACGGGCCCTGTAGTTTCTGCTTTTTTCCTTGTTTAGTCCAAACATGAAACCTTTGTTCAGTTGTAGTCCTTATTTCAACGTTCCAGGGACTAAACTTGGAAAAAAAAGTTCCAAGTTTCAATTTTGGAGTGAAACAAAGTAAAAATCAAAAAGCACAGGGACCATTATTGTAATAAGCTAATTTATTTAACTCTTGAAAACATATTTGTTGCAGATATTGTTGCTGCAGCTGTGCTTTCCGGAAACCGAAACTTTGAAGGGCGTGTTCACCCACTGACAAGAGCCAACTACCTTGCTTCACCTCCTTTAGTCGTGGCGTACGCACTTGCTGGCACGGTATGTGTAAAATTACTTTTCTACCCTCCAAGAAACACAAATTCATATCCTGTTTTGCATGTTGTGTGTTTTAGGTCGACATCGACTTCGAAAACGAACCAATAGGGACCACAAAGGACGGAAAGAATGTCTACTTTAGAGACGTTTGGCCAAGCACCGAAGAAATCGCTCAGGTAGATATATTCATAAATAAATACTATTATAGTTTAAAAACCGTTTTAGTTTTCCACATGAAGTGAATCTCAAAGGGACAAAATGGTAAATCTGCAGGTGGTTCAATCAAGCGTGTTGCCTGATATGTTCAAAAGTACATACAACGCAATCACACAGGGCAACCCCATGTGGAACAAGTTATCTGTCCCAACATCAAGTCTCTATTCATGGGACCCTAACTCAACCTACATTCACGAACCACCATATTTCAAAGACATGACCATGGACCCACCAGGCCCCCACGGGGTCAAGGACGCTTACTGTTTGCTAAATTTCGGTGACAGCATCACCACCGATCACATCTCGCCAGCTGGCAGCATCCATAAAGACAGCCCTGCTGCAAAGTTCCTCCTTGACCGTGGCGTTGACCGTAGAGACTTCAACTCCTATGGCAGCCGTCGTGGCAACGATGAAATTATGGCAAGGGGCACTTTCGCAAATATTCGCATTGTTAACAAGCTTTTAAATGGTGAAGTGGGACCCAAAACTATCCACATTCCTACTGGAGAGAAGCTTTCCGTGTTTGACGTTGCAACGGTATGTCACATAACACATTTTATTTATTTTAGTAAATTTCAAGAATGGTCCATGCGGTTTGTCACTTTTTCTAAAAACTGACAAAGTTGTGATGTGGATGTTTATTACAAACAGAGGTACAAAGAAGCGGGGCAGGATACTATTGTCTTGGCGGGTGCAGAATATGGAAGTGGGAGTTCAAGGGACTGGGCTGCAAAGGGACCAATGTTGCAGGGGGTGAAAGCGGTGATAGCAAAAAGTTTTGAGAGGATTCATAGGAGTAATTTGGTTGGTATGGGGATTATTCCACTGTGCTTCAAGGCAGGTGAGGATGCGGAGACGTTAGGTTTGACCGGTCATGAGCGTTACACTATTGACTTACCTTCAAAAGTTAGTGAGATAAAGCCTGGCCAAGATGTTACTGTTACAACTGATAATGGGAAATCTTTCACGTGTACAGCTCGATTTGATACTCAGGTATCATCTCTATATTCTGTTTCTATATTGATTGTTGGAGTCTTTATTTTATTTAATATTTTATTTAATTATTTGGCTGTTTATCTTTGCAGGTGGAATTGACGTATTTTGATCATGGTGGTATTCTTCAATATGTCATCAGGAATTTGATTAAGGAATAAAGGCTTGCTTTGTTAAACTGAACTTCTGAAATCCTACATCAATAATCTCTCCACATCTTTCCTTTTCTGAATAATGTTGGAACTTGTGTTTGCTTTTGGTTGCTTATTCTTGTGGATAATATAGCGATTTCATTTCATCCTACGATAATGAGTTTTTATTTCTTTCTTCTTTTTATTTATTTATTTATTTATTTCGGGTTTTAGTTGGAGTTAACATGTGATTCCGGTATGTCATGGTTGAGTTGTTGCTTTCAGCCAATCACTGTTTCTATGATATTTGAATCTTTCCTTTGTCTGCAGAAAGAGAAGGTTCTAATTCCTTCTCTATTCTCTGTTGGTAATGATTATGTATAGGGATGAGCAAAAGGACCGAACCGGTCCGAACCGGGAACCGGCTTCGGCCAAATGAAGAACCGAACTGGCCCGGCGGTTCTACCGGTTCTCGGTTCCTACCGGTTTTTGTCGTGTCATCAAATGTTGGAACCGGTCTTCGAACAATAGCATCATACGATTCCGGTTTTTGCCGGTTCTACCGTTTTTTGCCGGTTCTACCGGTTATATCGGTTCCGATTCCTACTGGTTCCCAGTTCCAAAAATCCACAAAAATAACATCCCGGTCCCGGCCCAACCGGTTCCATCGGGTTCCGGTTCCGGCCGGTTCCCCGGTTCACATGCTCATCCCTTATGTTGATGATATATCGTTAAAAGCATACTATAAACTATTATTTAATTACTGTAAATATATTTGTTGAAGTATTATACCATCAGTTCTATGTGACACACCCACTACTTCATTTCACATACCAAAGGAGAAAACAGAAAAAGATTCTAAAAGAGTATGGGAACACTAGCAACCCAAGGATTCTACAAAAAGTATTTTTTGAATACTTTTCCCTTCTGGCGGATAGATATTTTGCAAATGTACGTCTTCCGCAAATTTGAAAAAAGACAAACGATATTTAACTACTTCCAAAACAAACATCTTATTGTTTTCATAGAAGAATATTAAAAGTTTCTACTTCTTTGGAGACTATAGCAGCTCGAATTGCTATATCTATCTTGTTCCTTTTTTCTTTTATCATTAATCCCGGAAGAATTGTCATCCCAGTAGTCTGTGGTGTCCACTTATATCTATCTGCTATATTTACTTACCTAATCCGATTTTGCTGAATATATGATGATAATATAAATGTCTTAAAGTTAGGAGATTAATATTTGACTTGATTAATTGTTTTGTGATTAATATAATTGATTTTTTAAATGGTCACATAATTAATTTGTATATTAATGGAACTTAATAATTAATGTCAAATATTGATGGAATTAATTTTTAAGTTTAAATTAAAAGGTTTAATTTTTGAAATTTAAAATGTAAACTAGTATTTTTGAAAAGTTTTGAAAAATATACCCTTATACTATATGTAACTTTAAAAGTCTAATATTACTATATGTATAAGACGAGTCAGACGAATCGTTAGTACGCCTCATTCACGAAGTTGTTCTATAACAAAGGTATAAGAAAACTGACTATAAAATGGCGATTGAATGAGTATTCACTCTCAACCACCGCTTCCTTGATTGGTGGAGGGTCATCAACCGAACGAGTTTTATAGGACAAATAATTTCTCGTTAATAAGTATAATGAGTTAAAAAGTAACTAAACATTTATTTTTAATTCCTAATCTTAGTTACTTTAGAAAAAATGTAAATTTGTATGCTAACCCATGAAATCGCACATTGCACTTTATGAGTCGTTAGTAGAGCGTGTGTGGTTAACCGACACACAAATAGGGACAAATAAAGAGTGGCGATGAGTGTCTCGAAATATATCATTGATTAATGGAGCGTGTGTGGTTAACCGACACATTAAAATGAGATGATAAATGACATCGAGAGTACCAAACTAATTTGCATGGTTCTTTACATCTTGTTTGTGAGCCTTGGGTATCCCAATCACAAATGGAAGAGCATAATCAAGATTAACCTTGTCATTGAAAAGTTAAATGAATCTCAAAAGATCTAGGATATTCATTTAAAAACCAAATTCATTTAAATTTCGTTTTTCGATGGTGAAATTCGTAAATCGTCATTTACCTACCTTTAGATAATTTACAATTAGATTACGACATCCCTTTTCTAAGTTGTAAATTATTTAGTTGGGGATCCTAACCTTGATATTTCATTTCAGTGTTATATTGAGGATTATTCTTATCTAACTAAAACTCTCTTTCTACTCTTTCAGATATCTACTCCAACCGATGCTTCTCGTTCCTCCTCTTCCTCCTCCAACAACTTCTCCTTGTTGAACATCTGTTCGAATGTGCAATTGGATGACACTAACTATATGATTGGATACGCAACATTAACATAACCCTTCGTTTTGAGGACAAGGAATATGTCCTTGAGAAACCATTAGATGAAATTGATGAAGAGAAGGTCAATCCTGAAGAAATGGTCGCCTACAAGAAACACTATAATGATGCCACAAAAGTTGTGTGCATCATGGTGGCCACATTGACTCTGGAATTGCAAAGGCACTATGAGGATTACTGGCCGTACGAGATGAACAAGGACCTTATGGAGAAATACCATAAGTGTAACACCGCAGATTCGGGCTAGTCAATTTAGAGACAATAAACGTCAAAAGAGACTTTTTGATAGAAGATTATTTAGAATAAATGATATTAACTAAGTTATAATATATGTCACAAGGGTTCCGTACATATAAAGAACCCTGAAATCCGAGTTATAACGAAGAAGTTATGATATGTCGAAGTTTTACAGCAAAATTGACACGACACCGAGAATCGTAATGTAACATCCCGTTTCGGATTGTCCATGATTAGGGTTCGTGGGCCACGAGCCGGGCATGAGGAAGTCTCGGGTTGTGGAAAGTTGCTGGGATCGTAAGGCATCTCGTCACCTGTCCATAGAAATGAGGATCTTGAGAATCTGAAGTTATATCAAAGAAGCTATGATAGTTTGGGAGTTATGGAAAGTTGAGTCCTTATGGAGAAATGAGTGGCAGCGGGTACGCTGGGCGTATGTATGATTACGCTTAGCGTACCTATGAGTGTGGATTGGACACGAGTACCACCTAGTATGCTGGGCGTACCAGAGGGTACGCTGGGCGTACTAGGCGCTGAAGGAAAACCCTAATTCAAGTGGTGACCCTATTTAAAGGATGTGATGGTCTCATTTCTGGCCACCTTCCTCAGCCATTAAACCCTCTCAAACCCTAAAATAATCGTTCTTGAGCTTGTGGGTGGCCATGTTGAGCTTGTATGTGTTATTGTGGGCTCTTTGGAGTTAAGAAGGAGCATGAAAGAGAATGGAGTTGAAGTCCAGGCCTTGGATCTGAGCTTTCTTGGGGCTAGAGCATCATTTGAAGGTAAAAAGCTCAAAGCTTTCCCATTCCTTTTGATCTATACTTAGTATGGTCCATTTTAGGGTTTTATGTCCCAAGATTTGAACTTTGTGAGTTGGTGAACTCTAGAGATAAATGACATATCCTTTTAAGCGTATTTAGTGGTGGGGAACCATAAAAATGAGATCTTGATAATGAGATTCAACCCATGCATGAGCTATGTGCATTTTGGGTTAAGGAAGTAAGAGTTTCATGTGTTGTGACCTAATCAGCCATGCAAAGGCTTAAAGTTGATAACTTTATGGAATAGGAGATGTTAGGAAGTCCAGATCCAAGATATGAGTTAAGGTCTTAAAGGATCAAGACCCAGAAATTTATTTAAGCAAAACTGAGAGAACGCCCAGCGTAATCCTAGTACGCACCGCGTACTAGGCTGATGTGACATCCCCAAAATCACGGCCAGAATAGACCGGTTTCATTTATGATTTTAGAATAATTTCAGAGTAAATCTTTTTGATTTAAAAGATTTGCGGAATTTGTTCCCAAAAAAAACGTGATAAAATAATATTTACCAAAACATTTCCTAAAGAAATGTATTTTCATTATATAATCAAAACTCGGGATGTCATGTTCCGATACAGACCATAAAACATAAACGATAACATTATAAGTCATTCAACAAATATATACATATACAAACTTGTAAACAAAACAACTTGATGATTCATCCATCTTATGCCCTTGCGCCACTTCCTGTAATACAAATAAACTGAGTGGGTCAGGCTTGAGAGCCTGGTGAGCATATAGGGTTTTCATCCCACAATAAATAATTAAATTAATTTTCATCAACCAACAATAACCCAATTACCCATTCCCGTTATTCTCACTTTACGTCCCTAAAATAACTAACACAAGGGACCTAGTCTAAGAATATTTCATCGGGGCGACAACATATGCTTCGGGGGTTTCCCAGCAATATATGTCAAATAAGGCAACCATGAGGGGGATGGAGTACAGCGAATGAACACCCAAGTTCATTAACACCTACAGGTGGCGAGCCTGCTAGCGTTCCATAAGACTGTCTAGAAAAGTCTGTGGTCATCATCTAAACTCCGCTAGATGACTGAATCAAAAACAACATCGAGGCCTCTCATCTGTTTATCACACATCAACTATCTACCCATGTTCTACCCAACATATTAGTAGATAAAAATATATATTTTTATACATAGTTTAAAACCTGTATAGCATTCTCATTCAATACATACTCCAAACAACAGATGAGACACATACACATAACACGTATTTCATAGAGAATAAATCATATCTATGAGATTGAAGAAAGTGAATATACATTCACACATATAACAATAAATTATACACATAGCACGTATTTCGTATAAAATACTTCATAATTATGCGTTAGAAGAAAGTAACTACACACTCACTTGATCAGAAGATGCTCGGACAACACTACGACTTGTAGAAGTAGTATTCTTCGGTAGATCTGGAAGATCTTCACACAAACCGGGCTCCTCGCGGGTAGAGCTTCGACTCGGAAACTTTTTTCTTCTCGGGATCTTCGGGCTTCGGGACTCACGATGATACCGGGGCTTCGGGATATTTCTTGCATGTAAATCGAGGTAAAACGGGAGAGAGAGGAGAGAAAATAGCAACCCTAAACGGCTGGCTCTTCAAATCTATTTATAGGGCAAAATTTGCCCTTGCCACATCGTGGCACCTTTTTCCACATTGTGGGCTTGGTCGTCACTGCATGTGTCATCGCAAGTTACATCTGGGGGACTCCAGGAGGTGTTAGAAGACTTGCCACGTCGTGGTATCTGACAGTTTTGAGGTTTCGCATACGAACTCCGTTTTCGACGTTCTTTATATTGACGCGTAGGTGATATTATGATCTACTCTCGTTTAGACTCCGTTGGCTAATCTTTTTATCGTTTCAGTACTATTAACGAGATCTTCGATTCTCATTTAGATTGTTTCGGCTAAAAACCGTTCGATCTCAAATCGAGTATTCGGGCTGCATACTGCTAAGTCG